AGAGTTCAAGCCCCGAGACCAACCAAAAAAAAAAAAAAAGAATTGGCCATGAACCTTGATCCTCAGATATCAACCTCCTGAGTAACTATGAGTATAAGAATGAGCCACCAGCCCCTGGCATGACTAGCATTTCTAATTCTATATGAAGTCTCTGACTCTTTTGCCCTTTTCTGTCTTTGAACTTCAATCCTATGACCTCAAACTGTTTTATGATACTGGTTTTGGGCTTAATTCAGGGCCTCTTACTCTCACTTGGCTTTTTCTGCTCAAAATTTGTACTGTACTCCTTGAACCTTACCTCTATTTCCAGCTTTTTTTTCTTTTTTTTTTTTGCAGATTCATTGGAGATAAGAATCTCAGGGGCTTTTCTGCTGGGACTATCTTTGAATCTTGATCCTCAAATCACAGCCTCTTGAGTAGCTTGAGTAAACTAGCACTTGGCTATATTTTTGCTCTTTATCTCCATCTTGTTTACATGAGTATGTTCAGTTTGTGAAAATTGGAATATACATAGAGAGGAGGGTAGGGAGAGAAAGAGAGATTGTTTTTAACTTTTAATTTATTTATTTTCCAGTCCTGGGGCTTGAACTCAGAGCCTGAGTGCTGTCCCTGAGCCTTTTTGCTGAAGGCTAGTGCTCTACCACTTTGAGCCACAACACCACTTCTGGTTTTATTGTGGCTAATTGGAGATTACAGTCTCATGGACTTTCCTGCCAGGGCTGGCTTAGAACCATGATCCTTAGACCTCAGCCTCCTGAGTAGCTAGATTAAAGTGTAAGCCACTGGCACCCAGCCTGCACTTTTGTCTTAAGGCATTCATTTTTCTAGACTGAACACTCTTCAGACATTTGGTTTGATGTAAGCTTAGGCTGTCTTGGATGTGTATACCAATGCTGTCCTTGAATGAAGACAGTCACACTTGGGAGACATGGTGAAAGGGTGCATTATCCCAGGTTTTCCATACTTTTCCAGCTGGTTCCTGAGTGTTCATGTATTCAAGTACAATGGCTCTTTGCCAGTACAGATTGGCACTTCTACCCACAATGGTTCATTTTATTTCCTCGTTGGTTGATAGAGCCAAGATTTCAAAGTATTCTCTTTTGAAATGGTTATAAAATTTAATTTGTGATAAATTATATTTTGAGTTTTTCAAACATTGTCCATAGCCAGGAATTCTTTTGAAAACAAGTTGTTTTCATGTTTGTGATTTGTAGATTACTATTTGCAAGTTAGCTGCCATAATGCTTTTACTTAGAAATTGTCACCAACTAGTTATTAAGCATCTATTATCATTCATGTGGAATTAACTTCCACTTAAAACGTTCCAGTTAAACAAAACTTCATTATAAACCCTTTAATTGATTCCCTGTCTCTGCACATAAAGTAGATTCATTCAGGGCTGTGAGTCACTAACATGAGTCTTAATAGATTGCTAAACCCAAAATCTGAGATACACAGATAGTTAATGCATACTTGGACTCATGGTGAGTCAGTATTGAAATGTTTTTAGTGCAATCCTAGTATAAATTCTCTGGGATGACTGTTTGGAAAGTGTCTTTTTGAAAAATTAATGTCTTATTGCTTAATTTTACTTCTGTTACTTTGCTTCCTGCCTATCCCTGGAGGACTGAATTCCACATATTTTTCAGTTGTTTTATGAATTTTACTGTGCTGGATATAATTTTTCAGCAAATGTTAACATAAAATACCTTAGAAATCTTCTAATTTGATATTCTCCAATTCACAAATGAAAATGTAGAAAGAAACTGATTCCTGAGGTTCCTGAATCACATTCCAAAAATCTCTTGGCTCCTAGTCCAGTACTTGTTATGGCTCAGTTTCATGAAATTTAAGGTTAAGAATAGCTCTTTTTAGATAATTTTAGTTCATCTTGGATTTTGTTTTTGCTTAGAAAAAAATTAGTATTTTAATATTAAAATGGGTTCCATTTTTATATGGATTTCATTTTTAATTAGGAAGTTAAAACTTGATTCTGGTCTATTTGTATTTGTTTTTGCTTTTATAAAACCTTTATAGAGGGCTGGGAAGGTGGCTCAGTGGTAGAGCACTTGCCTCGCATGCATGAGGACCTGGGTTTGATTCCTCAGCAACCACAGAAAAAAACCAGAAAAAGTCAGAAGTGGTGCTATGGCTCAAGTGGTAGAGCGCTAGCTTTGAGCTGAAGAGCTGAGGAACAGTGCGTAGGCCCAGAGTTCAAGCCCCACAATCAACAAAAAAAAAAAAGAAAAAAGGTTTATAGAGCCAAGCACTGGTAGCTCACACCTGCAAACCCTAGGTACTCAGAGGGCTGAGATCTGAGGACTGTGGTTTAAAGCCAGCTGGGACAGGAAAGTCCATGAGAGTCTCATCTCCAATTAACCACCACAAAACCAGAAGTGGGCGCTGTGGCTCAAAGTGGTAGAGCACAAGCCTTGAGCACAAAAGCTCAGGGACAGTGCCCAGTGAGTTCAAGCCCCATGATGGACAAAAACAAAACAAAGAAAAAATAACCTTTATAGAGCTGGGTACTGGGGCTCATGCCTGTAATCCTAACTACTCAAGAGGCTGAGATCCACAGATAATGGTTTGAAGCCAGCCCAGGCAGGAAAGTCCATGAGACTCTTAACTCCACTTAACCTGGAAGAAGAGTATTGACTCAGATGGTAGAGCACTAGCCTTGAGCAAAAAGCATAGGGACAGCACCCAGACCTTGAGTTCAAGCCTAAGGACAGGCACACACGCACACACAAATAAAATAAAAAGAACAATCTTTAGAACAGTAGTACATTAAAAAAAAAATTTTTTTTATTAGTCATGGGGCTTGAACTTAGGGCTTGGGCACTGTCCTGGAGCTCTTTTGCTCAAGGCTACTGCTCTACCATTTTGAGCCACAGTAGATTTCCAGTTTTTATTTGTTTGTTTTGTTTTCTAGTCCTAGGGCTTGAACTCAGGGCCTGGGCACTATTTCTGAGGTGCTTTTGCTCAAGGCTAACACTCTACCATTTGAGCTACAGTGCTACTTCCAGCTTTTTCTGTTTGTGTGTGGTACTGAGGACTCAAACCCAGGGCTTCATTCATACATACTAGGCAAGCACTCTACCACTAAGCCACATTTCCAACCCTCATGGATTACTTTAAATAATAATAAAAACAAACCAACCTGGTATCTTTTTTCTTTTTCTTTTTCTTTTTTTTTTTTTTTTTTGGTCATGGGGCTTGAACTCTGGGCCTAGGTGTTGTCCCTCAGCTCTTCAGCTCAAGGCTAGCACTCTACCACTTGAGCCACAGCACCACTTCCAGTTTTCTGGTGATTTATTGGAGATAAGAATCTCATGAGCTTTCCTGCCTGGGCTGGCTTTGAACTGCGATCCTCAAATCAGCCTCCTGAGTAGCTAGGATTACAGGTGTGAGCCATTGAAACCCGGTTTACCAACTTGGTATCTTATTGATGACTTTTAGCCATACCTTTTTAAAGTTGGGCAGAACCTGATAATGAAATAATTTATACTGCAATTTGCTTTTTTTTTTTTTTTTTTAAATCACAGTACCGATGCAGGTGTTTTCTTTCTCTGGCTTTGTGAGCAGCTGAATCTGTAAGCCACCTCCAGGGAAGAAGGGTGGCTCAGTGACTAAGCCAGCTGTTGGGTGTTTAGTTAAACAGCTTGCTCCTAAACAGCTTGCTCCTATTTGACTGCTCTGATGCTAGTGAGAGGTACTGGCTGCTCCAGGGAATCGGGCACACAGGGTGAAGAGTGTGCAAAGCTTTGTGGTGACCTGGTTTAAATCTACTAGAATTTCCCTGTTTTGACCTCTCTCCCTCTCCCTCCCTCTCTCTCCTTCTCCCTCCCTCTCTCTTCCTCTCTCCCCCTCTCCCCCCTTCCCTCTCCCTTTCTCCCTCTCCTCCCCCTCTCCTCTCTCTCACCTTCTCTCTCCTCTCTCTCTCCCCTCTCCTCTCTTTCTTCTCTCTCCTCTCCTCTCTTTCTTCTGTCTTTCTCTCCTCTAGCTCCTGGAGCTGGGCTGAGCTCTTTTGCTCAAGGCTAGCGCTCTATCACTTAGAGCCACAGCTCCACTTCCAATTCTGGTCGTTAATTGGAGATCAGTCTCAGGGACTTTTCTGCCTGGACTGGCTTTGAACTGTGATCCTCAGATCTGAGCCTCCTGAGTAGCTAGGGTTACAAACATGAGCAACCAGTGCCCAGTTTCACTTTTCTTTTTGATGATCCTAGGGTTTGAACTCAAGGACTTGTGTTTGCTAGAGGTGTTTGAGCCATACCCCTATCCCATTTTGCCTTAGCTATTTTGGGAGTAGCACTTTGAGTTTTTATGTGTTTATGCCCAGAACTGTACTGGACTGCAATCCTCCTGGTTTTCATTGTAGCTATGTTAATAGGCACACACTGTTGTTCAGCTACTGGTTGAGATAGGGTCTTAACTTTTTTGCCTGGGCTGACTCAAACATGATCCTCTATCTTCTGAAGGCAGTGGGTTTACCAGGTGTGAGCAACCACTTCCATCTGCTTTAGCTTCTCGCTATATGTGACCAGAATTCATCAACTTTGGGTTTTCATAAATTAGTCATTCCCTATAAAAATTTCTTTTGGAGAGGATACAAGATTTATTAGTGGGATTAAAGGGAGGGACAGCACAGTTCAAGCCTTTCATTATTGCAAGATTTGATACTTATCCCCAGGGTATCATGATTAGGAATATATTTGACCCTATGGCCATCTAGGATGAGCCATCCGCTTCTGAGCTACCTTGTCTATAAATTCATCCACATAAACTTGATAAAGTCCCACTTCTTTAAAATATGGGTCTTCTTGTGGTCAGGAAACTTGAAATTGTACGTGTGTTGTGCCTAATCACATACTCTTATTCTGCAGCTTGGTACAGCTGGATATGATGACCTGGCCACTGTTTCTGGACTTCACAAAGGCACCTTCAGACTTTTCTCATGTCTAAATTGCTTAAGATTAAAGATAAAAATATTCACTGGAAAGCTCTGTCTTCAAGGTCCTCTAGGTCAACCATACAAACAACAGACTAGGTATACTACTAAGGAGGCTATTTGCTATTTGCAGCCATTGCACAGCAGCTTCTATGTGCAAAGGAATCTGGTGGGCTTATTTGGCTGCAGATCCTATCAGAGTTTTTTGGACTACAATGCCTTAAGAATCTTTAGGCTAGGGGCTGGGAAGGTGGCTCAGTGGTAGCGCTTGCCTTGCATGCCTGAGGCCCTGGTTCGATTCCTCAGCACCACATAAGCAAAAAGAAAAAAGCCGGAAGTGGCGCTGCAGCTCAAGTGGTAGAGTGCTAGCCTTGAGCTGAAGAGCTGAGGGACAGCACCCAGGCCCAGAGTTCAGGCCCCATGACCGGACCCCAAAAAAAGAATCTTTAGGCCATTGTTACACACTATTTTTCCTACTGTTTATATTGAGAGGAGAAAACAGTGGTGTTCAAAGACATGCGTATCTCCATCTCATTTTTGCTTGGTTGCTGTGATTCATAAAAAGCTTTTCTTCCTGAATGGCATTTTAGTGATTTGTTGTTTTCTGTGGGAAATTTATGGCCTATTCTTTTCTTTTTCTTTCCAGAGAAAAAGTTGCAAGCAAAACATCATTTTTCTAAGAAAATTTGGGTAACAGAAGTTCTGGATAACAGGTAAAGTGAATTTAAACTTCTTTGATGGTGATGACAAGACATTTACAATCTATGCACATGAACTGGGAGAGGGAAGGGAAAAGTTAGAAGACTAATTGTACTTGGTTCAGTGGTTTCACATTTTACACATATTTGACTTAGGTGGTTTTAATCTTGATTCTAGAGTAGGTCTAGGAATCTTAGAATTAAACTATCTTTTAAAATGTTGCTTTTAGAACCAGGCACTGGTTGTTGGAGAGGGATGGTGCAGGCCTGTAATCCCAGCACTTGGAAATCTGAGGCAGGAGGATCATATCTAATATAAAATAAAATAGGCTTGAGGGCATGATTCAAGCAGAAGAGCACCTGTCTAGCAGGTATGAAGTACTAAGTTCAAACCCAGTACCATCTAAAGAAATGAATAAAATAAAATTTTGTTTTAAAATAGATTTGTCTCTTGATTAGACTTAATGTCCTCACAGTACAGCTTTGCAAACACTTTTTGACATCTCCAATAAGCAAATACAGATGGGATTATAATGTTTACTATAAGAACATTCACCAGAACCTGTTGCTGTGCAGCCTAACTTGGGAGTCTCTTCCTAGTTTCTGTCTTTTAGTCTTGATCACTGCTAGTTGTTTCTGTGCTGTGCTGTACCATCTCAATTCCTTTTTTTTGGGATCAAGGCTAGCACTCTACTACTTGAACCGCAGTGCCAATTCCAGCTTTTTCTGTTTATGTGGTACTGAGGAGTCAATCCCAGGGCTTTGTGCATGCTAAGCAAGCACTCTATCAGGAAGCCACATTCCCAGCCCCTCCTTAATTCCTTTTAACACTTTGTCAGCTGTTCCAAAATATATGCTTCCTAATAAGCTACTTCACAGTGAAGTCTAGTCCAAGAATCCTCTTTATGATTTTAATGATGGTCTACATATGGCTGTACTTGTATGTTTTTATCTATATCTCACAAAATTCTGTAGGTCTTATGAAATACTAATATATGTAAAAGGCCTAGTGTACTATATCTGAGAAGTTATCTCTATGAGACCTATAATTTACTCTTACTTATTTATGCTCTTGCTTGGCGTTTTTGCTTAAAGCTAAGACTGACATACCTCCACTTCTGGCTTTTTGCTGGTTGATTGGAGATAAAAGTCTCATGAACTTTTTTGCCTGGCTTTGAACTGTAATTCTCAGAGCTCAGCCTCTGAGTAACTATGAGTATGGAGTATAGGTGTAAGCCACTGATACCAGCTAAAATGCTTATGTGAAGATTTTTAATGCTAGCTCACATGGGTCAGAAGCATAGCTTGGACTTGGAACTTTTTTCTTTTTCTTTTTTCTTCTTTTTTGTCAGTTGTGGGGCTTGAACTCTGGGCCTGGGTGCTATCCCTCAGCTCTTCAGCTAAAGGCAAGAGCTCTATCACTTGAACCACAGCACCACTTCTGGTTTTCTGAGTGGTTTCTTGGAGATAAGAGTCTCATGGAGCTGGGTGGTGCCAGTGGCTCATGCCTGTAATCCTAGCTACTCAAGAGGCTGAGATCTGAGGATTATGGTTCAAAGCCAGACCGGGCAGGAAAGTCTGTGAGACTTTACCCCAGCCCACCATTTATTTTTAAACCAGATCTTTTTTAGGATTCTGTAAGTCCAAATAAGTATTTGTAGATTAAGGTGAATTGTCCTACCTAAGAGTAGTAAGACAGGTATTGAACACGTGTTTGCCAGAAGCTGGTGACTTACATCCGTAATCCTAGCTAGTCAAGAGGCTGAGATTTGAGAATTAAGGTTCAAAGCCAGCCCAGATTTTTTAAAAAAAGTCATTGAGGGGCTGGGAAGGTGGCTCAGTGGTAAAGTGCTTGCCTTGCATGCATGACACCCTGGGTTCAATTCCTCAGCACCACATAAACAGAAAAAGCTGGAAGTGGCACTGTGGTTCAAGTGGTAGAGTGCTAGCTTTAAGCTGAACAGCTGAGGGACAATACCCAGGCTCAGAGTCCAGTCCCCACAACCGACCAAAAAAAAAAAAAAAAGTCATTGAGACATTCATCTCCAGTTAAGCTGGAAGTAGAATGGTGGCCCAAGTAGTAGAGTACTACCCTTGAATGAAAAAGCCAAGTGAAAACAAGATCCTGAGTTGAAGACCCAGTAGTGCCTGGTGCCGGTGGCTCACACCTGTAATCCTAACTGCTCAGGAGGCTGAGATCTGAGGATCATGGTTCAAAGCCAGCCCAGGCAGGAAGCCCCTGAGACTCTTATCTCCAATAAATCACCAGAAAACTGGAAGTGGTGCTGTGGCTCAAGTGGTAGAGCGCTAGCCTTGAGCTGAAGAGCTGAGGGACAGTGCCCAGGCCCAGAGTTCAAGCCCCATGACCGACAAAAAAAAAAAAAGACCCAGTACTACTCCGTTCTCTAAATTATTTCACTTTGCTTTTAAATTTCAAGTATGCAAAGGAGTACTTCCTAGAAATCTCATGATTTAAAATGTATATTGTTGAGGTTTTAGTATTTGTTGGGGCTAACTCAGTGTTGGTACACAAGCCCACCATGTGCAAAGCCCTAGTGCCCAATTCCAAGCACACACATTCCACCCTTTCCAAAATAACTTTTTAATACTTGTTGACTTTTCCCTTGGTACTTTCCCACTTTTATCAGGGCAACTCAATTGGAGCACCATGAGTTGGAGCTTCCTGACTCGCCTGCTAGAGGAGATCCACAACCATTCTACGTTTGTAGGGAAGATCTGGCTCACTGTGTTGATTGTTTTCCGGATTGTCCTAACAGCTGTAGGAGGAGAATCCATCTACTATGATGAACAAAGCAAATTTGTGTGTAATACAGAACAGCCAGGCTGTGAGAATGTCTGCTATGATGCCTTTGCACCTCTCTCCCATGTGCGCTTCTGGGTGTTCCAGATCATCTTGGTGGCAACTCCCTCTGTGATGTACCTGGGCTATGCCATTCATAAGATTGCCAAAATGGAGCATGGTGAGGCAGACAAGAAGGCAGCTCGGAGCAAACCCTATGCAATGCGTTGGAAACAACATCGGGCTCTGGAAGAAACAGAAGAGGACCATGAAGAGGATCCCATGATGTATCCAGAAATGGAATTAGAAAGTGAAAAAGAAAATAAAGAGCAGAGCCAGCCAAAACCCAAGCATGATGGCCGACGACGGATTCGGGAGGATGGGCTCATGAAAATCTATGTGTTGCAGTTGCTGGCAAGGACTGTCTTTGAGGTGGGTTTCCTAATAGGACAATATTTCCTGTATGGCTTCCAAGTCCACCCATTTTATGTGTGCAGCAGATTTCCTTGCCCTCACAAGATAGACTGTTTTATTTCTAGACCCACTGAAAAGACAATCTTCCTTCTGATAATGTATGGTGTTACAGGCCTCTGCCTATTGCTTAATATTTGGGAGATGCTTCATTTAGGGTTTGGGACCATTCGAGACTCACTAAACAGTAAGAGGAGGGAACTTGAAGATCCGGGTGCTTATAATTATCCTTTCACATGGAATACCCCATCTGCTCCCCCTGGCTATAACATTGCTGTCAAACCAGATCAAATCCAGTACACTGAATTGTCCAATGCTAAGATTGCCTACAAGCAAAACAAAGCCAACATTGCCCAGGAACAGCAGTATGGCAGCCATGAGGAGCACCTCCCAGCTGATCTGGAGACACTGCAGCGGGAGATCAGAATGGCTCAGGAACGCTTGGATCTAGCAATTCAGGCCTATCATCACCAAAACAACCCCCATGGTCCTCGGGAAAAAAAGGCCAAAGTGGGGTCCAAAGCTGGGTCTAACAAAAGTAGTGGTAGTAGTAAATCGGGGGATGGGAAGACCTCCGTCTGGATTTAATCTTGGCTGGGCTTAAAACTTGGGCTTTTCATAGTTTATGGTAAGCAACGGCTCACTGAATAATGACTTCCATTGAGTAAACATTTGGCTCTGGTTATCTTCAGGGATGCTGTTGGCTCATGATCCAAACTCAGGGGACTCTGAAGGTGGGGCTGGGATGAGTAGGGAGAGGGAAACACAGTATTCCCGGGCACATGTTCTCAGCAATAATACAGTTGCAGAACTTTACATTCATGTCTTCCATATCCAGAGAAGAACAGATATATTTAAATCATTCTTGTTGAACAGTTTTTGTATGTACAGTATTATGGGACCTTTTTTTTTTTTAGTATGAGAACTTTTTTTTGTATCTGTATATTGGACTGCTGTAGTTTTTTATATTAAAAGTAAAAAAAAATCCTTATAAGTAATGCTTGTTAGGCTAGTGTTTAATTACTTTGTTTAGCAAATTCTACCCTGGGTTTAGAGTTTTAATAGATGCTACACTGAATAAAAAGTGCCTCTCATATTGCAAGAAAGGTTACAAGTATGTAAGGATTTGCAAAGAAGAGATAGCAGTTTTCAGTCCACTTTATAAAGAGGTCGGGATCTTCCCACTTTACCTGAGAAATCTTGGGATCTCATCCTGTGACTAGAGTTGTAGCCATTCTTTGACAAAATGTTTCTAAAGGAGGTAAAGGATTCACTGAAGGATTCTTTTAAATACCAATATGGCCAGTGTGTACTTTATTAGTATATATGTAATTTAAGTTCTTTCAAAAGACTGATAGAAGGTGTCCCTAATCCGATAGCAGTGTGGAGTACCTGGCTAGAGTTGATGCTATATAAGCTGCTTTTCAGAAAGCAAAGCCACACCTGGAAAATGATCCCTAAATAGGATGTTTAGTTGTGAACCTGTTTGATTTGCCTTAAACCTCTATCCAAAAAACTGCCTCTTTCTGGTTTCTGAAGAAGCCAGTAATGGATATTTTCTATATTTGTTAATACTAGAAGTACAACCCCACCTCTTCTAAGAATACTCAAAGGTATTTGTACTTCGAATGGCAGTTCAGATTGTTTATTTTTATAATTTGCCATGGAACTTACAGTTTACTTCTGCCAATGTAAATTCCTGTCTGAATGGCCATTCTGACTTTAGGATTCTGTCTGTAAATAGACATAGAGAAATTCAGTATTTATTCTCTGTTGGCATATGTATTTGTCAGTGGTAAGTTCTAATGTTCATAAAACTAGTAATTTGCAGTGTTTTCAGTCTTATTATGTTGGAGGGCATTGTTCTCCTCCTGCACTTTTATGGTTTGTCTGAAAGTGCTAAGCCTAGAGCACAAGCTTGTAAGGTGGAGTAGAGAGGCTTTGCTCCACCAGGAAGCTTTTTCATTAGAGTCTTTCTCTTTTCCAACAGAAAGCTGCTGCAAGCCACCTCTGACTTAGAAATTCTGAAAATATCACATTTTATGTCTTAATTTTGAGATGCCAGTTCTCTACTATTTAGAGGGATACTAGTTGTTTTCCTTTTTGTTTCTCCTTCCTTCCTTTTACCTTCCCCCACCAAAAAGTAGAAAACGTAACCTTCTAGCCATTCATTTACTTATATTTCATCCCTTTTTATGTTTAAATTTTAGCTTAGCTGAAGGGACAGTTTCAGAAAATGGTATATATCTATGTATCATGGACAATTAATAGACATGCAACATTTCTTTCAAATGGTTAATAAGGAAACATATAATTCTAAGAAAACAGGCAAATTTTTAACCATCTCAGCCTAACTAGGAAAAGAACTCCCAGTTCTTAAGTTGCTAGAGCTTTCAGCAGATTTCTTAATTGAAGGACACAAAATTCATATACTGTACACTGCTGGCACCTCAGTGCCTGAAGGAGAACAGAGTAGCTTTGCCAGCAGAAAGGTTGGGAATTTGAGTGATAGAGGAGTCAAGCAGAAAGGCCAGGAAGATCCAGGCGAAGACATTCAGTGCCGGAAGCATCCACTTAGTTTACAGTGCCCTTGGTGGTTCTGTCTTGGTCAGAATGTTATCTTTTATATCTGACTAACTCATGGCAGCTTTTTGGGGGGTAAAGGGTAGGAGTAGGGGTGGGGAGGTGCAGGGCCTGGGTACCCTCCGTGAACATTTTTGCTCAAGGCTAATGCCATAATACTTAAGCTGCAACTTCATTTCTGGCTTTTTTGATGGTTAATTGGAGATAAGAGTCTTATAGACTTTCCTTCTCCAGGCTGGCTTTGAACCACAATCCTCAGATCTCAAACTCCTGAGTAGCTAGGATTATAGGTGTGAGATACTGGCACTTGGTACCCTTCAGCTTCTTAAAGTTTGAAGTTTGCAGAAAGACATTTTAAGTCACCTCCTCATATACATACCCTTTAAATTTTCATTCTTCTGGTAAACTTTTAATTATAGCAAGAATTTCTACACTCACTTCCTTTACAGCACATTTCTTTCAGCCTTTGAACAGTTGTTTGTTTGCAAAGCCATTTTCCCTCATGATTTGTTATGGACCTCCATTAAGAAAACAATTTATTAGTGCCTACTATAACCCACTGATTGGTTCCACAATGAATCTATAAAAATACTATTCTGATCTGTGCAGGTATTTGTCTCAAAGGCCTGTCAAGTTTGTTTTTCTGTCCATAGTCTGTTTTAGATTGCCATGTAAGACACGCTATGTCATGACATTTAATTCTGCCCTAAGTGGGGGTTGAGTGCTCTGTCCTTCCTGTATTAAATCAGAATAAGAGCAGTAACATAGTTATGTTCTTTAACATGCTTTGGTATTTTTTTCAGCCATATGCTGACACTTTGTTGTTTGTTTTTAAACAACCTGTTTATTCAGAAGATATTTATAAAAGGAACAGAGTTCTTTTTCTTCAGATTTGAGGGGAGAATTAGGTAGTATTTTCCCCTAAAGAAATGTTAATATCCATTTTGTCTTTGTTAATATCCTTTGTCTTTGCTTGACTTAGTTTCGCCTGTTTCTGTATTTAAAACCCCAAGTGTGGTCTGGAGGCATGGCTCAAATGGTATGGCACCTTTCTAGCAAGCATGAGGTCCTGAGTTCAAGACCCTAATACCACCAAGAGAAAAAACAAAAGGCAAGTGTGTTAATTCAGTTGGAATCTGTTTTTTTCTGGTGATTTTTTTTCCCTCACTGATACCCTATAGAACTATTTGATAAAAATGAACATTGCCTTCTAAAGTGATTCTCACATGACTTGTCATGCTCTGTGTCTTTTAGGGGATCACCTATATAAAGGGAAAAAAAATCAAGATATTAAGTACCCTAATTGTCATTTCTTTGTGGTATGATACTGGGCAGATTACTTTTCTTTTATCCAAGTGCTAACCAGGCCTGATCTTGCTTAGCTTCTGGCATCAGACAAGATTTAGCTGGCACGTTCAGGATGGTGTGGTTGAGGACTACAGATAACAAAGTTTTAAATGTACTAACTAGTAGCCAATAACCTCTGGTAAAAGGTGTTTTTTAAAAAGCATTATTGCAACTGGGAGTGTGATTCCATGGTAGAGAACCTCCTAGCACACAAGAGGGTCCTGGGTTCAATCCCTAACACCACAGACAAAACAACACAATTATTAGCTCCAAAATAGTTACTGAAGCTGAGCACTGGTGGCTCACACCTATAATCCTAGCTACTCAGGAGGCTTAGATCTAAGGTTCAGGGTTCAAAGCCAAGCCTGAGCAGGAAAGTCCATGAAATTCTTATCTCCAATAATCAACTCAGAAAAAGTTGGAAGTGGCACTGTGGCTTAAGTGGTAGAGTACTAGCCTTGAACACAAGGATAGCACACAGGCCCTGAATTCAAACACCCAGCCCAGAAGAAAAAAAAAAATTACTGAACTGTGCTTTAATAGGAAGATGTGCTTTGGTATTCTTTTTATCACTGGCCTTAGTGATGGTTTGAAATACTTGCTCTAGCAGTTTATACCAAGAAAGGACTTAAAATGTCATTCCTATTATTCATACCTGTGATTTACCTATATAGCGTCTAGATATCCATGCTTTATGTTTCTGTCTCTTTTAAGAAGCAGTCCACTTCTAAAAATAACATTTGTGGATGATGATAAATTTGGGGCCAGCCAGTGTTTTGTAAAAGGCAAGTATATCATTCTTGAACCTATCTTAATGAATGCCTCCTTATAAAACAAAGATCTCATGCCTGGTACCCGTGGCTCTTGCTCATAATACTATCTATTCAGGAGACTAAGATCTGAGGATTGTAGTTTAAAGCCAGCCCAGGCAGGAAAGTCAGTGAGACTCTCTTTATCTCCAGTCAACTACCAAAAAAAGCCAGAAGTGAATCTGTAGCTTAAGTGGTAGAGCAGTGCTAGCTTGGAGCAAAAAAAAAAAAAAAAAAAAAACCCTCAAGAACAGCACCCAGACACTGAACTCAAGCCCCAGGACCATCAAAAACATAAAAACCAACTTTCCCAGCTATGGAAAAAAAATAGCGGATGTAAAAGATATGTAGCTGCTAGTCATTTTGATCAGAAGATTTTAGGTAATATTAGATTTTATCTTTAAAAAATCATGTAATTTCTTAAAATCTAACCACTTCTAAATAATAAATCTTGCACCTGTACAGGGAAGTTTGGAAATAAAACTTCAACTCAACTGGTATATCACAAGTCATTGTAATAGTTCAAACACCATCAAATGTTAGAATCAATAAATTGATTATATATTTGTCTCTCATTCTAGCCATACATCATGGAAAATTTTAAGATTTTGATTTGCTCTTGTCCTAATGTAGGTCCATTGCTTTGTTAATGTTGCTTATAATAACAATACTAATTGGGTTTAGTTCATGCACATTCCACAATGAAACAATTCATGGTATTCTAAAATCTAGGGGTCCAAAAAAGAGCAAGTTCCACTCCAGTGTAAAATCTCCACAGGGATAAAAAGCAGAGTACTTCCTTTCAGGTTGGCTTGTTGGATCAGGCTCCAAAAACTTGTTTATGCTTCGGAGACTGAGGAAAAAATGGAATTGTTCTCCCAATTATGTTTCTTTTAGTAAATCTCTTACAGAAGTCTACCTCAGGCACTGCTATGAGTAGCATATTGATGCTGAAAAAACAGGACTTTCACCTTTTAAAATAATATAAATGTAAAATTCAACTGATAACCAGCAGTCTAATGTCATATGGTATGCAGTTTGGATGTTGCATGAACTGCTAAGGAATTAACTTGTTTTAGTCCCAAAGATCATTTGTTGCTGATTTTGTTCTGTACAGTTTATGTAAAACTTTTCATGGTGGAGACAAGCTCTGTGCCTAGGGTCTGGTCTCTGGGAAGATTTTGTTAGTTTCCAAATGTTTTGTTAGTTCCAAATACAATTTAGAATATTCACCTGTGGTCTGTGCATCCTTTCTGAAAACTCAAAACCCCTTTGAAAACTAGGCTATCAGGAAATACTGCATTGCACATTTTATCCCATTCTTTTTATAAAATTGTACCCAAAGAGCTTAAAGGTTTACACAGAAAACTTGATAATTTTTCCTGTAAGTTGAGCTTAGTGGGAATACAGGAGCAGTAAGATTTCCTACTAGAGGTTTTGACTCAAGAGAGGCCATTGGGTTGGAGGTGCCTCTGGGACTCTTGGATTGGCATGTTTATGGCATCACACTCTGGGCAATACAGGAGGTCTTGGGTGGGGGGTGGGAAGCTGAGGTCCAAGCCTAGTTGCTGGGAACATACGCTTCTCTGTGACTTCCTTTGATTCTCAGAAGCCTTTCCGGAAGGAAGAGTAGGGCTGTTTTCCCTGAGCAGCTACTGGAGCAGCAGCAACTTGTAGAACATTGTATGGGCATGCTACTGAGGGTAGGGTGTGGGATAGGACAGCATTTATCCCCTACAGTGCCCTCTGTTCCCCACAGACTCAGAATTAGCTGGTTGGTAGGGCAGCACAAGGCCTACTCAGCAGCTCAGATTGTAAACTGGCCAGCCAACCATATTTGGTAATAAACTTGTAAGCCATTCGAAAGCTGGTGGAGTACTTAAATCACTCTGAGTCTGGTTTGAAAGTGGATCATTTGGTAGATAATATCTGGAGAAGGTACTAGTATCAAAGTTCTTTCTGTGTTATGCAGAGTTTTAAAAAAACCTTACGATTTTAAGAGCATATACACTATACTTGTAAAGCTCACCTCTGGCTGTCACTTGAAGGCAGTAGAAGAGCATGAAGAGTGGAGGTGGAAGCAGAGTTGACTGCTAGAAGGCTCCATCAGTATCCTGTGCTGTTTTCTAAGAGGAATGTCCAGAGAAGCCGGTAATGAGTACTCATAGGGTAGGGTGCAGGTGGACAGATCTTGCGTGGACCATGTGTGGCATGTGTGACCCATGTGTTTTGTTTAATAAATGTCACTATTAGACCTATCCTGAGTCTGTCTCAGCCTGTGTAATAAGAACAATCAGAACTAATAATTTCTCTGAGTGATTCATTTTGTTAAGTGGGGGGTGGGGAGCTTGGTGTTGGCTTATGCCTGTAATCCTAACTACAGAAGAGGCTGAGATCTGAAGATCACAGTTCTAACCCAGCCACAGCAGAAAAGTCCATAAGACTCATCTCTAATTAAACACCATAAAAGCTAGAAGTGGTGCTGTGGCTCAAGTGGCAGAGTGCTAGCAAAGAAAACGCAGACAGTGCCCAGGCCCCTGAGTTCAAGCCCCAGGACTGGGGGGGTGGGGGGGGGGGAGGACTTTCAAAGTGCAATTCACATGCAGTAAAATTTACTACATCAATACCCCCTTCCCCTTAAAAAAAAAAAAATACTGGAGCTTGAACTCCAGGCCTTGGACTTGCTAGGCAAGTACTTTGCTAAGCTAGTCCATTTTGTACCAGTTATTTAGAGATAAGGTTTCACATTTCTTTCTTTGTTTTGTTTTGTGCTGATACCAGGGCTTGAACTCAGGGCATCTATTGGGTCTCAGGCTGAACCTGCATTCTATTTTCTATAGTATAGATCTCAGTCTCTGGAGTAGCTCAGATTACTGGGGTGAGGCACCACACAAAGCCATTCTTTTTTTTCTGGTCCTGGGACTTGAACTCTGTGCCTGAGCTTCTTTGTGCCCAAGGCTAGTACTCTACCACTTGAGCCATTGAGCCACTTCGGGCTTTTTCTGAGTAGTTTATTGAAGATAAGAATCTCGAGGGCTTTCCTGCCCACCTGGCTTCAAATCACGAACCTCAGGTCATCCTTCTGAGTAGCTATGGTTACATGCATGAGCCACTGGTGCCCAGATGGATGGATGGATGGATAGATAGATAGAGTTGTTTTTGTTTTTGTTTTTTTCTGGTCATAGGGCCTGAACTCGGCCTGGGTGCTGTCCCTCAGCTCTTCAGCTCAAGGCTAGCGCTCTACAGTGCCACTTTGGGTTTTCTATATATATGTATATATATATATATTTTTTTTTTTTTTTCTTACCATCTCTTCCCCCTCCCCCCCCACTGCCCCTTTTGGGTTTTCTGAGTGGTTTATTGGAGATGAGTTTCACGGCTTTTCCTGCCCAGTCTGGCTTTGAGCCAAGATCCTCAGATCTCAGCCTCCTGAGTAGGATTACAGGCCTAAGCCATCAGCGCCTGGCTCCATTCAGACATTCTTAAAAGTAGTTTCAAATGTATACTTAACACTGAAGTGCAGAGTTAGTAGCATGACCCAAAAATTTAGTGATTGTTGTCTGCATTAAGGTTTGAGAAGCCAGGGGTCTTAGGAAAGAAAAAGGGAAAATAACAAACACATTTTGAAATGTAGGGCAGAATAACAGGAAGAGGGATTGTTTTATCCCCATCTCATCGGCTAGCTCAGAGAGATTGGTAGGTGCTAGGAGTGAGTCCTGGGAAGAGAATGCCATCCTAAACTGGATGCTTACGCATAAGGTTTCAGAAGATGAAATGTGGATTCAGAACTTCCTGGTTTATCACTATGACTAGAACTCACAAGATAAGAACCGAGGCACCCTGTATGTAGATAAGAGGCAATCTCCATTCTGCATTAAATGGCATTTTAGAGATAAGAAGGGACTTGGGTTAGTAAATGGAGAGATAGTGACAAGCCTTCCTCATGGGTTGATTTCCTCTGCTCTAATGCCTCTCAGTCCTGAGGAAATGGCACAGTATCCTCTTTGCCCTGTCCTTTACAGGGCCATGCCTGCTTTAAACCAGACAGGGAGTCCTGAAAAAAAACCAGGAAGCCAGCCCATGGCTAGTGTCTAGAGGAAAAATTGACTGGATCCCCTCTTTGAGCCTCCCACAAACCAGTATCTTTATCTGCTCTGCTCTTCTGGGGCTGGCCCAGGGGGCCTGGGAGGCTGGCCCTTAAACTCCAGGCAAGGCAGAACCAAACAACTGTTCATAACTGACTCAGCCCATGATCAGTGACCTGAATGGGACCTTTCCATGGGGGAAATGATACAGAACTAGATAGCTTTTTTTTTCTGTTTTGTTTTATTTTTAGTATGTGTAGTCCTGTGAAACTGAAATGCTATCTTTGCACCAGAAACACTGAAAAACACTGACAGGGAGTTGTTTTGGCCTGGCCCATTTTTCTGAAGGCATGTTACAGCTGTGGCCTCTGCCCAGCAGGCAGAGGCTGCCTTATATCCTATACCCAGGTGCTGTGCAGAGCAGTGACATCTCAGTCTCAGACTTCAGAGGGGTCTGCAGGAGGGCTGGGTGCCCTGACACTTGACTGCAGGAGCCCTGGAAATAGCTGTCAAGATTACTTCACATCCATAATGAAGACTTTGAACACAGATAAAAATCTTCAGGGTCTCGACCAGCCAGATTATAACCAAGATACCATTTGGTTCCAGTGGTATGCTTGCGGGGGGAGAGGGGGAGAGGCACAAGGAGGGATGTTTTCTTTGCTTGAGATAGCTGGCCCCAAATCCTGCTTTAGCCTCGAGGATGGGGGTTGCAGGTATGTGCTACTATGCCTGGTTTGGTGGCAGGATGAGCTAGGAGAGACATAGTGTGGAGGGAATCACTTCAAAAAAGTGACTCACAGCTGTAATCCTAGCTACTCAAATCACAGTTCAAAGCCAGCCTGGGCAGGAAAATCCATGAGGCCCTTCTTTTTTTTTTTTTTTTGGTTGGTCATGGGGCTTGAACGCGACCTGGGTGCTGTCCTTGCGCTCTTCAGCTCAAGGTGAGCACTCTACCGCTTGAGCCACAGTGCCACTTCCGGTTTTCTAGTGGTTTATTGGAGATAAGAGTCTCACGGACTTTCCTGCCTGGTCTGGCTTTGAACCGTGATCCTCAGATCTCATCCTCCTGAGTAGCTAGGATTACAGGCGTGAGCCACCGGTGCCTGGCTGAGACTCATTTCTAACCACCAAAAAACTGGAAGTGGTGCTGTGGCTCAAGTGGTAAAGCACTTGCCTTGAGCTGAATAGCTAAGGGACAGCGCCCAGACACAGTTCAAGCCCCACAACCAACCAAAAAAAAAAAATGTATATGTGTATGTACATATATATACATTTTTTATGAGCTTATACTAGTTATAGAGTCAATAGAGGTGTTACATCTCAATAGAGGTGAGCACTTTTTTGTTCATTTCACTCCTGCTTGAGAGGACAGCTCTTGAGGAGTTAGCTCTGACCCTAGGAAACAGCTGGAAGCAGGGTAGAACACTGGCGCAGCTAAGGATGTTGGGGAGGAATGTGGAATGGTAACACAACCGAGTTAAATAGAAGAGGGTGAGTTGGTCACTCTAGGTTGACCCGAAGGAGATGCGTAAGCAGGAGCCAGTAGTTTTGGTTTAACAAGATGATTGGCTCCATTGGATTTCAGCTCAGTGATGAATAATTTTGTTTATATTACATGTAATATTATATCAAATTAGGGCTGGGATGTAGTTCATGGGCTCAATCCTCAGCACCTGCCCCTGCCCCCCAAACTGTTAACCTGAAATTCAAATTTAACTATAGATATATATTTTTTCTTTTTCTTTTTTTTTTTTGGTACCATTCTTGGAGCTTGAAATTAGGGACTGGGCATGGTCCCTGAGATAGACTAGTGCTCTAACACTTTGCGCCACAGCTTCACTTCTAGTTTTCTGGTGGTTAATTGGAGATAAGAACGTCACAGACTTTATGATAGTTGGATTCCAGTCTCCTGAATAGCTAGGATTACAGGTATGAGCCACCAGCACAGGATTTCCTGAGCTGCTTAAGGCTAGCACTCTACCATTTGAGCCACAGTTCTACTTCTGGCTTGATGATGTTTAATTGGAGATAAGATTCTCACAGACTTTCCTGTCTGGGCTGGCCTTGAACCATGATCCTCAGTTCTCAGCCTCCAAGTAGCTAGGACTATAGCTGGTGTGAGCCACCAGTGCCTGGCTGTGTCTTGTTTTTATTTGCTAAGTAACTTGCAAACCATTTGTTAATGCATTTGCTCATTTTAATTTAGACGTGCATTCTGAAGCCTGGTAAAGAGAAGACAGAACAGGCTTTAATCAAATACAGTACTAGAGAAATAAAACTGGGTTTGGTGTGCATGCCTATAATACCAGGTACTTGGGACTAGGAAACAGGAGGTTCATGAGTTCAAGACCAGCCCAGGCAAAAGTGAGACCCTTTCTCAAAAGTAAAAGTACCAGGAGGTTCATGAGTTCAAGACCAGCCCAGGTAAAAGTGAGACCCTTGGGCTGGGAAGGTGGCTCAGTGGTAGAGCGCTTGCCTTGCATGCCTGAGGCCCTGGGTTCGATTCCTCAGCACCACATAAGCAAAAAGAAAAAAGCCGGAAGTGGCGCTGTGGCCCAAGTGGTAGAGCACTAGCTTTGAGCTGAAGAGCTGAGGGACAGCGCCCAGGCGCAGAGGTCAGGCCTCACGACCGGACCCAAAAAAAAAAAAAAAAAAGTGAGACCCTTTCTCAAAAGTAAAAGTACCAGGAGGTTCATGAGTTCAAGACCAGCCCAGGCAAAAGTGAGACCCTTTCTGAAAAGTAAAAGTAAAAATAAAATGGGGATGTAGACCAAGTTGAAGTACACTCAGCGTGATTCTTCAGGCCCTGGGTTCCATTCTAGTACTGCAAAAAAAGAAAACCACATAAGCTATCTACTCAGTGTGCACTGAGTATGCAGTACAGAAAGGTAGTAAATCATGTTGCTAGTGAGGAATGTTGGTCTTTCCTGACTATGACAATTCTTTGATGGAAAACATTTTTGGTTCTGTAATTTAATGGTAGCAATGAAATACCATGTCAACCCAAACTTGGGTCAGTGACAGATTGCTTAAAAAAAAAAAGGCTGGGAAGGTGGCTCAGTGGTAGAGTGCTTGCCTTGCATGCATCAGGCCCTGGGTTTGATTCCTCAGCACCACATAAGCAAAAAGAAAAAAGCCAGAAGTGGCGCTGTGGCTCAAGTGGTCGAGCGCTAGCCTTGAGCTGAAGAGCTAAGGGGCTTGAGCCCAGAGTTCAGGCCCCACGACCAAACCCCCCCCCCAAAAAAAAAAAGCTGGGCTCCGGTGGCTCACTCAGGAAGCTACTCAGGAGGTAGCTACTCAGGAGGTTGAGATCTGAGGATCATGGTTCAATGCCAGCCTGGGCAGGAAAGTCTGTGAGACTATCTCCAATAAAACCACCAGAAAACTGGAAGTGGCGCTGTAGCTCAACTGGTAGAGTGCTAGCTTTGAGCTGAAGAGCTGAGGGACAGTGCCCAGGCCCAGAGTTTAAGCCCCAAGACTGACAAAACACACATAAACAAAAACCTGAATTTAGCAGTTCTACTTCAGGGCAAAGCCTGTTCTGTCCTCTCCTTAGCAGGCTCCACAATGCATGTCACAAAATAAGCAAATGTATTTACAAGTCACTTAACAAATAAAAACAAGACACAAGGCTGGGAAGGTGGCTCAGTGGTAGTGCTTACCTTGCATGCCTGAGGCCCTGGGTTTGATTCCTCAGCAAAAAGAAAAAAAAAAGCCGGAAGTGGCGCTGTGGCTCAAGTGGTAGAGCTCTAGCCTTGAGCTGAAGAGCTGAGGGACAGTGCCCAGGCCCAGAGTTCAAGCCCCACGACCGGACCCAAAAAAAAAACAAAAACAAAACAAGACACAGCCAGACACTGGTGGCTCAGACCTGTGGACTACAGATCTAAGGATCATGGTTCAAAGCCAGCCCAGACAAGGAAGTCTCTGTCTCTGTCCATCCCCCTGCCCCATCTCTCTCTCTCTCTCTCTCTCTCTCTCTCTCACACACACACACACACACACACACACACACACACATCCTACTAAAGAGATAAAAGTCCCCAAATTTGGGCCTGGGAAGGTAGCTCAGTGGTAGAGCGCTTGCCTTGATGCCTGAGGCCCTGGGTTTGATTCCTCAGCACCATATAAGCAAAAAGAAAAAAGCCAGAGGTGTCGCTGTGGCTCAAGTGGTAGAGCGCTAGTCTTGAGCTGAAGAGCTGAGGGACAGTGCCCAGGCCCAGAGTTCAGACCCCATGACTGGACCCAAAAAAAAAAAAGTCCCCAAATTTCCTGCTATTCCAGCTTCTCAGATGTAACACCACTCTTTACCATTTCTTCCCAGAAATCAAAAACTCATGTGCTGTGAACAGAGCACAGTGACTTCCCTGGAAATCAAGGGCCCTCACCAGGGAAGGCCAGAACACACTGGCATCTGCTCTTTATGTCCATCTAGGGTGGTGTGGACTGTAGAAGGAGTGACAGGGTCAGACTGCCCAGAGGACCTACAGGATCAGCAAGATTTGAATCCAAGGCCTGCCCAGAGCTCTGAAGAAATCCAAAGGAACTTGATGTCTATGGCTCACACCTGCAATCCTAAGCTAGGGGACTGAGATCTTAGGATCGAGGTTTGAAGCCAGCCCAGGCAGGGAGTCTGTGAGATTTTGTGGGGGGGGGGGGGAGGGAGGGGGCTTGAACTCAGGGTATAGGCACTGTCCCTCAGCTTTTTTTTACTCAAGGCTAATGTTCTATCACTTTGAGCCACAGTGCCACTTCAAGTTTTTGAGTAGTTAATTGGAAATAAGAGTCTCATGGGTATTTTTCTGCCTGGGCTGGCTTCAAACCGAGATCTTCAGATCTCAGCTTCCTTAGTAGCTAGGATTGCAGCCATGAGCCACATGAGACTCTTGGTGGCTTCACTGAGTTCAGCAATGGTGCAGACTAACATTGTGAGCAACATAAAGGGTGAGCTCAAGGAGGTGTGTCCTCCTAGCTGGCTTCACCATCAGTGGAGTGGGGCCAGCAATAGCCCTGCCACATCCAGTGTCCAGGAGCTGTGAGCCAGTCTGGGTTTTCAGGTCAGGTCCTGTTGCATGCTTCCCCTTGTCTCAAGCCCAACACAACTATGCAGCCTGCTTTGCCTTTCCAGGGCTCTGAGTCTCTCATTGCAGAATGAGAGGCTACTAAACCCCAAGCAGTGCTGCAGGTATGAGATCCACGCTGCCAATATGGCCTGTGATATGCATTCTAGTCCCCCTTCCTGGGGTCGGGGTGCTGCTTGCTGACTTCTAGGAAGTAGACGGGAAGGGCTCCAGCACACAGGATAAAGGTACTTGTCCCAAGCCGGGCGCTGATGGCTCATGCCTGTAATCCTAGCTACTCAGGAGGCTGAGATCTGAGGATCGCGGTTCAAAGCCAGCCCGGGCAGGAGAGACCGTGAGACTCCTATCTCCAATAAACCACCAGAAAACCGGAAGTGGCGCTGTAGCTCAAGTGGTAGAGCACTCACCTTGAGCTGAAGAGCTGAGGGACAGCGCCCAGGCCCAGAGTTCAAGCCCCATGACCGACAAAAAAAAAAAAAGGTACTTGTCCCAGACTGGTTTTCTGGAGCAAGTAGTAGGTGACGGAGTCCTTAATAGGTGAGTAGAAGTCAGATAAAATACAGGTGCCGGGGGAGCCCCAAGACAGAATTTTTCAAGAAACTGAAAAAATCTTTCTTCTAAGTTGCAGCATCGAAGGCAAAGGGGCTAGAGATGAGTTGGAGAGCCAGGTGAGGATCAGGCAGGAAGTGAGAGCTGAGAGGGGTCCCTCAAGCCAGGGGATGGGAGGGAGGAGGTGGGTTTGCAGTTGGTGACATCCAGGGTTTGCTCCCAGGCCTGAATGGGGAGCGAGGGACTGGCTGTGGGAGCAGGCAATTCTATGAGTAGGCAAGGCTATGAGGGCTCCAGTGTCTTTGTTGCAGAAATTGAACTCGGGACCGCATGCTTGCCAGGCAGGTACTCTACCATTTGAGCCTCATCTCCAGTTCCTTTTTGCATTGCTTATTTTCAAGGGCCAGAGTAGGCCTTTTTTTTTTCTTTTTTCCTGGTCCTGGTGCTTGAACTCAGGGTGTGGGCACTGTCCTTTAGCCTCTTTGTGCTCAAGGCTAGCGCTCTACCACTTGAGCCACAGTGCCACTTCTGGCTTTTCAGAGTGGCTTATTGGAGATAAGAGTCTCTTGGACTTTTCTGTCCCAGGATGGCTTTGATTTGGAATCCTCAGATCTCAGCCTCCTGAGTAGTTAGGATTACAGGCGTTAGCTGCCAGTGCCTGGCTTAGACTGGGCTTCGATCTTCTTCCTTTTGCTTCTCTGTGTTGCAGGGACGACAGGCATGTGCCATTCTACCCAACCATTGGTTCAAAGTCTTGCCAACTTTTAGGCTAGGAGTCGACTCACAATCCCCTAATGTCTACCTCCCAAGCAGCTATGATTATACGTTTTTTTGGATTTGTTTGTTTGTTTGTTTTGGAGGGAACAGAAAGACCTTGGGTCACAGGAAAAAAAATAGAAAATGTTGGGAGAAAAGATTGGTAAATAACAGAATGTTGTCCTAAGGAGAAACTGTTTCTTCATCATCATCATCATCATCTTAATGCAAGAAGGGAGCCTTTCAAACTGGAGGAAGCAGGAAAGAACACGTTATCTGGATGGGATAGCCTTGAAGACAGCAAAAGGAATAGGAATGAAATGGTGGAGGAGGATCCATGGCCATGGGTGCCCAGCTGAGGCTCGGACTGCTTTTGTGATATCATCAGTCCAAACCAGCCTGAGGATCTGTTTTTCCCCAAAGAGTGGCTCTGCCTCCTAGCACCTTCCTCCTGAGCTTTGTAATTCTCAGCCCAGAAGTGATCCTCAGATCAGAGAAGCAACAGGTAACAGAACCAGCATGTCTTCAGTGGAGATGCTGGCACATCATCTTTGCAATGTTCTCTGATGATGATGGTGTCACTTTCTTTTCAGGGATACTGGGATCTGCCCAGCGTGGAAGAAGCTGCTGGGGTCAACTGGAGGAAAGACAGATAGGGAGTTTATTTTTAAACCTATTTGGGCACCAGAGCTGCCAGTGAGCAGCCGACAGCTCTCGGGAGAATGGAGATTGGCAGCTAGTCAGACACTTGTCAGGAAGCCTGGAGGCTGCCCAGCAGGCTAGGGTTCAAGTGGCTGAAAGCCAAGGCTGAGCTAGAGGGGTCGGGCAAGGGTTAGAAGAGCCCAAGGAGGCAGCGGGGACTCAAACACTGAGACTTGGGCCAGCAGCCCCTTGAGTGACACAAATGCCCTTGTTCACTCATCCAGGGTGTGTCGGGTCTAGTCTCAATCTGTGGTCAAATGGACTGTGTGAATGGTTCTGTACAGGAGCAGAAGACAATCAGAAGTCTAGTGGGGCCCCTCACAGATGAAGCTCTCTTATTAAGGTGTTCTGTCTTGATTCAGGGGAGCCAGATGGCACTTAGTCCCGAGAAACTATGTTCTGCAGAGATGTGTCTGTGGCTACCCAATCTGCCGACCTCACTTTGGGACTCCTGAGCCAGTGCAAGGGCTGCTGGGGCCTTTTGGTTGTCAGCAGGGATGGGCTGTGGCTGGTGAGAGTTTAGAGCCTCTTAGAAGACATGAGAGCCATAGCTCTAGCCTCAGCACCATCTCTAATAATATCCCTAAGAGTTTACTTCCAGCTTTGGAGCACAGGCCTGTAGCCATAAAGCTTTCTGGGTTTCACTGGAGGTCTTCAGGAAACTTTTCAGCATCAAATTCCCTAGCTAGGCTGCTTCTCTCCCACAGACTTTTAGGAATGGTAGGTAAAAAAAAATCTATATGTGTGGGTGTGCATACCAGTACTGGGGTTTGAACACAAAGATGGAGCTCTACCACTTGGGCCACAGCTCCACTCTGGCTTTTTGTTGATTATTTGGAGATAAAAGTCTTGTGGATTTGTCTACCTGGGCTTGGTTGAAACCACAATCCTCAAATCTCAGTCTTCTGAATAGGTAGGATTACAGGCATGAGTCACTGGTGCTAGGAAGTTAGTAGAAATCTTATTTTACCCATAACAAATTCTCAGAGTCCAGAACTGGCTTCAGGGCAGGACAAATTTAGGTTTCTCACTCTAGTTAAAAGCATCCCATCTTACCAACATTGTCCTGGCTCTGCTCTATGCTCTATTTCGTTTGTTTGTAACAGAGTTGCACTGTATAGCTCAGGCTGGTCTTGAATTCTCAATCCTCCTTCTACATGAATCTCAGCCTTCTACATGAATCACCCATGGCCAGCTCTGGCCCTGCTCTTGCCTTCCGGAGAGGACTGTACACACAGGTTCCCATGATGCGCCGGTGTCTGTTGTAGCTGATCCAGGTCCTTCCTACTGTGCCTTTCTGCTTCCTCCTGCCCTTGCCAGATTTCAAGCTTTCTGGGTTTCATGTTGCTACCTCATAGCAGCAATTAGAGCCACACGGAGCCCTTGAGCACTTGAAATGTGGCTAGTCCAGATCTGGATGTACTTTAAGTGCAAACCTGAGTCCTGACATTATGTGAAGGGAGTGTGGGGGGGAAGAGAACAAAACAGAATATAACACCCCACTAATTATTTTATGTTGGTTACATGTTAAAATATGAATAGTTTGGTTATGTTGGTTATAGCTTTTCTTTTTTTGGCCTGAAACCAGGACTTGAACTTAGTATCTGAGGCTTTCATTCATTGGCTGGTGCTCTACCACCTGAACCAAAGATTCTAGTTTGTTTTTCTTTTAATTGTGCCAGTTCTGGGGCTTGAACTCAGGACCTAGGTGTTGTCCCTTAGCATTTTCTGCCCAAGGCTGATGCTCTACTACTTGCGCCATAGCTCCATTTCCCTAGTATATTGTGTGTGTGCACGTGCACATGCGTGAGCCTTTTTTGCTCAAAGCTAGTGCTCAGAATTTCCTGCCTAGCGGGCTGGGAAGGTGGCTCAGTGGTAGAACGCTTGTCTTGCATGCCTGAGGCCCTGGGTTCGATTCCTCAGCACCACATAAGGAAAAAGAAAAAAAGCCGGAAGTGGCGTTGTGGCTCAAGTAGTAGAGTGCTAGCCTTGAGCTGAAGAGCTGAGGGACAGCGCCCAGGCCCAGAGTTCGGGCCCCACGACCAGACCCCCCCCCAAAAAAAAAAAAAATTTCCTGCCTAGGCTAGCTTTGAGCTGCAATCCTCAGATCTTAGCTTCCTGAGTAGCGAGGATTACAGGTGTGAGCCAGTGGTGCCCAGCTCCCTGCTTCTTTTTAAACATACTATCAGGAAGTTTAAAATTTTTGCATGTAGAAGCAGGGCAGGAGACCATCCAGATACCTTTCTGCCCAAACTTTCCTGTTCTGTTCTTCTGGAAGCACTGCTCTAGACCCTGGGCTGAGCCATGACTCATGTATCACTGCTTCTCTAGCCTGGCAAGAGACTCAAATGCCTGCATGGCATAGAGGTGCTACCTGACCCCCAACCTCCATCCTGGCCACCTGCAACTGGTAAAGGAGGTTAGAGGGAGGCTTGCCCTGGGTTCTGAGGGAAACACAGTCCTCTGAGATGATCTGTATGGTCACAATTGCAGTTCATTTCCAGCCCACTAGAAATTATTTCTCTTGGGCAAGCTGGGCAGAGAGGTGCTGGTATCACAGACAGGCAGGACAGGAGCAAAGAAGGTGGGTACCTCCTGGCATCGCTCTTACCAGCCAGCACTAGCACTGTGGGAGATTTGGCAGGCAGTGCTGGGACTGAGAGGGGGTGGATGACCTGGCTGATGTTCCTGACAGGAGTTGTCCTCAGCTTCTCTGTGTCCTTTCTGCCTGCCCCTAGCCTCTGTCTGCCAACAGCCATGCTTTCACTCCTAGAGGGGCAGTGGTAGGACACACGGGACTGAGAACAGGGAATAGAGAAAGGGTTAAATGCAGAGATGGAGCTGCTGAGAGGCAGGAGCTACGAAACAAGTTAAAAATAGGCTAATCCAGCCCAGAGCAAGGAAGGCAAGGACAAACCCAGACTTGAGTGTGTGACTGATGGGTTGGAGAATAATCCTGGCCGCTTCACCCTGCACACAGAACAGAAAGAGGAGGCCTTTGCCCTCAGGAGATGCCTTAGATATGCCTCTGTATCTTGGGAGGATTGAGATGCTGAAGTTGGATGGGGACTGGTGTCTGAATGTGGTCCTATGTCTTGTCTTTGCAAAGAACCCTGTGATCCTAGATCAACCCAATTGGGAGGGGAGCAATGTTTTGTTTTGTTTTTTTTGCCGGTCATGGGGCCTGAACTCTGGGTCTAGGTGCTGTCCCTCAGCTCTTCAGCTCAAGGCTAGTGCTCTACCACTGGAGCCACAGCACCACTTCTGGCTTTTTCTGTTTATGTGGTGCTGAGGAATCGAACCCAGGGCCTCATGCTTGCAAGGCAGGCGCTCTACCACTGAGCTACCTTCCCAGGCCTCCCCCTCCCTCCCCCAGCAATGTTCTTGTACCTACCTGCTGGCAACTTCATCTCCTCTCAGTCCATTCCTTTTACTGCCTCCATCTTTCCCCCACTTTTATATCTCTGGGTACATAGGACTTCTAGGGCCTCCTATGGTTCTTCTCTCCCTTTTCCCCAGAATAAACCTCCAGGTCCACCTTGGCAGGAAGGTGAGAAGACTATGGCATGTTCCAGACTCCCCAATTCAGGCCTCTGACCAGTCCATTCCCAGTGTGGCCCAAATCCCCACTCCCCATCCCAAGCTCAGTGAAGCAAAGATGTGAACCATCCAGGGTCTAAGGGTCTAAGGCTTGCCCAGCGCTTCCTGGAACTGGGAGGGGAAGGGAGGCTTCTCTGACTTCAACCATGAGGGGACATCAGGTCACTGCTTTGTGGAAATCAGCACAAGGGTACCTCATCTTTGCTGGAAAAGCAGAGGAAGGGAGGGCCAGGCTTCCACCCAGTGCTGTTTCCTCACTGAGAATGGGGAGACTCGCCCTTTCCTTCCCTTTCCCCTGCCATCCTAGGCACTCACTTGGCACCCCAGTCATCACACTCCCTTCCAGGATACATGGGTAGTGGGGATCTCAGATCTCCAGTGTGATTGTTTACACAAAAGAGAGACACAAGCCAGTGTGAGCTCCATGGAAGCCCCAGGATGAGATCTTTAATTGATGCTCCTGGCCCCGCCTCCCCCCCAGCCCCAGATGATGTATATACAGGATGCAGAGGGAGCCAGGTCCATGCCAGGCCAATGCAGCTCCCATTCCTTCTTGGGAACTGCCAGGCTGGGCACTGCCAGGGTGGGGCTGGATGATACAGGCAGCCAGGAGCTGGACTGGTCACAGGAAGTCTTGTGCCTGCCACTGATATGCACACACACATACACATACACACGTGTGTGCACACACACAGACATGCCTGTGTATGTGCAAGCATTCACATTCCTGCAGAGATGTGGCTCTACATGCCTGTGCTGTTATGTGCCACCCAAGGATGGAGTCCTCAAGGTATTGTGCCCTTCCTCCTGTCCTGCTCTGGAGGACACCCACCCAGCCCCCTCACTGGGGCTGAGTACTGAGGACCCCACTGTAGCCAGATGCCACCCAGTCACTCAAAAGACCATCTATCGGTTGCGGACTCCGGTTTGCCTTTGAGGGTGCTTCAGA